AGAAATACTGGAGAGAATTTTTTTTTAAAAAAAATGTTATGGAAAAAACCCTTGGAGGTGTTCTAACGAAACTTGCCAGGGATAATTATTAATGCTACTGTACATTCACAAGTGTCTATAGATGGCACTTAGCAATAGGACTTAGAATTATATACCACTTCATAGTCCTTTACAGCCCTCTCTAAGCAGTTTACAGAGTTAGCATATTGCCACCAGCAATCTGGGTCCTCATTTTACTGACCTCAGAAAGATGGAAGGCTGAGTCAACCTTGAGCCAGTCATGATAATAGTCTATAGATGTTAAACAAATCAAGACACTGGCTACAACTTTGTAGTCAAAACTCAATTATTATTTTTTTAAAAAATATACTTTGAAGCAGGGCTTCTCAACCAGTGGTACGGGTACCACCTGTGGTACATTGGCACCCGGCAGGTAGTATGCTACCATCCTAGAAAAGTGGTAGCGGGGGAGGGGAATGAGCTGAACCGGTGGCAGCACCGCACAAGCCTGAGCGAGAGATGGCTGGAGCTGCAGGCTGTCAGAGCTCAGCGGAAACTCCAGGATCAGTTTCCAGCTGATTGGCACTTCTTTGGGACTGTCACGGTTCAGCAGAAGCGCCAGGATCAGTGCTAGGCTCCAGCTGGAGCTCGGCGCTGATCCTGGTGCTTCTGCTAAGCCCTGAAGAAGCACCAATCAGCTGGAAAGCAGCACTGATCCTGGTACTTCTGGTGAGCTCAGAAGAAGTGCCAATCAGCTGGAATGTTGCAGCATCTCCAGGGTCTTGTGATTTACATTCAGATGCTTGGCAACTGATTCATATTTATGATGGTCACAGTGTCCCAGGGTCATGTGAAATGATCAAAACCTTCTGCAATCACCTAGCAGACGGGGGGGGGGAGGGACAAAAACCAAACACCACCCCACCCCACCTCCACTGCCAATCCTCAACAGAAATGCTCACAACAATGAAAACCTCGGACAGGAGGAAGAGCACTGCCGGGCGGGCAGGCAGGTGTCTTGCTCGGCTGTGGCTTGGGGGGCACTTTTTTCATTGTAACTTTGAACAGTCACTAAGTGAACTGTTGTAAGTCGAGGACTATCTGTACTTTATCATTATTTTTTTCCTCTTTTTTTTGGTCATCAAGTTTTTGACATCTTGCTAGGCGACTGGTGGCACTTGGATATTGCCATATCCTAAAAGTGGTACAATGGGTGAAAAGGTTGAAAAGCCCTGCTTTAAAGCATGTACCAAAGTAGCTTCAACAGTGAGGTGGGTGGCATGTTAAACAAACAAACAAACAAACAAACAAACAAACAAACAAACAGGCAACCCTTCAGTTGTGGATATCATTTTGACTTTTTGATTCCTTCCCCTGTGGAGATGCCTATTTATATTCCATTTTCCCAAAAATGAAAAACCTTCAGACATTTCAATATGGGCAAATCTTTGTTTCAAATTGGATCTGGTTGCCCTCAGATCACATATCTGAACCGGATCATTTTTAGATTTTGAATCACCAACTTAAATCAAATCAGCACCAATTTAAATTTTGTTGTGGGGGAAAATAGGAGGAAGTTGTGTTTGATATGTTCACTGCCTAGAGTTATTTGTTAAAATAATAACTCAAATAACAAACAAAAAGCAGTCCCTATAGATTTTATTCGACTAGTTGTTGCCAACTATAGGGAGTAGTGCTCATCTCTGTTTCAATGCCATTGAACCAGCACTGTCTGAAGACATTTCTATGGTCATATGGCCAGCATGACATCTCGGAGCATGGTTACCTTCCCTCTGGTCCCTATTTATCTACGTGCATTTGCATGTTTTTGAACTGCTAGGTTGGCAGGAGCTGGATGGGAACTCACCCCATTGCGTGGTGCTCAGGTCTCAAACCTGAGCTGCTGGCTTTCCAGCCCACAAGCCCAGCATCTTAACCACTGAGCCACTGCACCACCCATTAACAAACAAATAAATAAATGACAGTTAAAACAAAATATTCCCCAGTGGCTATTGGGCTAGTCTTTTCCTTTCCTTCTCAGTGCAGTGTTGCTTGATTAATTAGATTCTGGTTAATTACATTTTGTACTTGGACTCCTAATTGTTGTTTTATAGCATATTTGGGTTTAATTGGTGTTAGCTGCATTGCAGAGATGTGCACTCAAAGGAAGGCTAAGCAAGGATATTGGATTTTTCTATAACACTTTGATATCACACCTAAGTGCACATTTGTTCAATTGCATGGTGGGAGGAAGGGAAAGCCAGGTGTGCTCTAAAGCATCCATCTATGTGCAAGATCTTTTGGCTGTGGGCAGAACATGAACTTGTCTTACTGAATTTACTTGAAGATTCATTGACTTTTTAGAAGCTCTGTGGATTCCATTTAATTTCTCAGTAAACATATAAGAGAAATGTCATGTTTCACAGGGAGAACAGAAGTTAAAGCAATTCATTTATCTCCCTTCCTGAAGGAGAATGTATCGCTGTTCAGACAGAAGGTGAAGAATTAGGGTATGTGTTTGTGTAATCTCCAAATTAAAGAAGAACTTTCCAAGAAGATAATAACAAGAGACCTTTCTCTGTCTCTGAAGATTAAAAGCATAGTCTTTTGCCAGATTCATTGTTTACCAGTGGGATCAAAAGATGCTGAATTAGTGGAAGCAGAAAAGAATACTGCTGTTTGGACTGTTTTAAACTGATCTAAGCCTAATAGTCTGAAATTCATGAGGGAGATTTCTTTCCTTCCATTAATTGTGAAACATTGATTTCTCATGTTTTTGTACAAAAGAAAAAAAAGAAAAGTCTTTAAAAGATATTAAGATTTTATTTTGGAAAAAAGCCTAGTTCTTTCTGAAATTCTACATTAGTAGAAAGTTAGTAATATAGTTAGTTATTATTTAACTAGTAGAATTTAGTAACTGATATAGAAGTTAATGATGAACCATTGCCCCAATGGTACTAGCCTACCCCACTCATGCCAGCAGGAAAGACCTTTTTTGAATCTTGCCGGCCAAGAAATTTTGACTATCGTGTTTCCCCGAACGTAAGACATACCCCACAAATAAGCCCTAGCTTTTTGGGGTAGGCCTAAAATAAGTCCTACCCCCAAAATAAGCCCTAGTTTTGGGGTGAGACGCACGCCTAAAAATCAAGCTAGGGCATGTGAGTTATGTTGAATATTACAAGTTGTCATCTACATCTTTTTCCCCATCAAATATGATCATGACACACAGATTTGTAAAATTCTAAAGAGAGCCCATCCCATCCAAAAATACATGCTGAAAAATATGTTGGGCCATTTTCACAGTACAGAAGTTGGCTATCCTAAAAGTTATGGGATACTTCACAACCAGAAAGAGCAGAATAATATACTATCTCTACATAATCAATATATAGCAAATTTTAAACTCCTCCTATTGGCTACATAAAAGGCTTCACTAGAAAGAATACAATATTTTAAAGATATTTTCTGTGATTACTTTATCTGAAATTTAAGCCACACAGAAATTCTAGCCATCAAAAAAATCAAATCCGATAAATTTTACATGCATATCTAATTCAAAAGTCAATGTTATAGACTGGAATATTAATCATTCAGTGATGATTGAGACATTTAACTAGATCATCCAAAAATCTAGTGTCTGCATGTTTATATAATAGGTTAAGCTTGGGTAAAGTTAGTTTTTCTGTGATTTAACAGGTTGTATGACTCTACCCTGACTAATTAGTTTATTACTCAATTTGCTTTGCAAATCCAGAAAATTCATTACTGGATGAAGGCAATGTGTTCTGCAAAGCTAACTAATGCACAAAATCAAAGGATGATACTGTCAAGAAATACTACTTAATCTTGTGTCGGAAAAAGCATTCATTTTTTTTCCCTTTTCCCTTTTAAATGGGAATGCCATTTAAGCAGCTGTAGAATAAAAATAATGGTTTATCAGCATCAAATGTTTGGGTGCATGAATAAGCACTTTCTATACTTTTAATCTCTTTCTAAATGCATCTAGTGGGTGTACCTGAACCAGCACTGAGGGAGCACTGCAAGCACAATGAACTTCGGCTAAGAGGAGAAAGGAGACAAATTTTATTTGCTCATAATTGTGAAAGAGATAAATTACCTGCAAGGCACCTGATTATTACCCACTGTCTTGTTAATCCCAGCCAGTCTCAGTGTGTTCAAACAAGAAATGCATTTCTCAGGGAATTATTATTTATTTAGATGCTCAAATGAGCCGGCTTTCAATCTACCCTTAACTTAACAAATATGCCTAATAATTGGAGGAATAGCTGAAACCATGTTCCACTAAATAGGGTGTCCTACTTTACAGTAAATAACCGTTCATTTGGAAAACTGTCCAATCAGTGCTTCTAAATGCGCGGCAGCTGAAACCAAGCAGCTGAACAAATATTTATTTGATGTCCTTTTACTGAGCTACCCAATAATTTTTATTTAAAAACAAAAAAAATGTATTCAAATGGCAAGGGCAAAACGAATATAGGGAGAAGATCTCTAAATTCATTCCATGGGCTTTCTCCTTAAGAAAAGAATCAGGATGTATTTAGGTGATGGCAGAGATTTGTCCAAGGAGCCAGAAAGCTACTACCAGTTAAGATTAGGGCAAACTTCCTTAGCTACTGACTTTTAGATGAATTGGACCCTAAATCTTATCATTTCCAGACAATAGAACTATTGATCATTCTGGCTAAGGATAATGCAAGTTCTAATTCAACCCATTTAGAGGACAATACATTGGGGAAAATGGATAAATTCCTGTGTAACTTAAATGCACCTTTTTAGACTGAAATTATAACTACTTTTTTGAATGGTATGTTGCAAAATAAACAGGATCAGGAGAAAAAGTTAACTTGTTTGGAATTCGTTTGTATTTAGCTAAAATCATATTAATGATATATTAGCCATTGATATAACTCCGCCCCCTTTTGGTAGATTAAAGATGACATTTTATAGCAAGTATTGGGGTGTTCTTGGAGACATACTGAAGACATTTTTAGGGTTAAATACGACTGTAGAACCTTAAGTTGTACTTTCTGCTTTCTACTCTCCTTTGGTATAATGTTCTAAAACAGAGGTCCCCAACCTGTAGGCCGCAGCCCAATACTGGCCTGTGGCCTATTGGCCATTGGACCACGTGAGTGGCTGGCCAGCACACAACCCCACGTGCACGCATTGTCACAAGCATCGTGGGAGTTCACGGCCCAACTCACATGAGCATCATCATGGGCGTTCATTGCCCCAGTCACGTGAGCCATGCTGTGAGTATTATGGGTATTCATGGCCCAACTCATGTGAGTTTTGCCGCGGATGTTCATGGCCCCACTTGTGTGAACGTCATCATGAGCATTTGCGTCCCCACTCACTTGAGCATTGTTACGAGTGTCATAGGTCTTTGCGGTCCCAATCATGCGAGCGACGAGTGTTTGTACCATCCTTTCTTTCCCCTCTTCCTCCCACTCCAGGCCAACTCCAAAAGGTTGGGGAAGTCTGCTCTAAAATGACAAGTGAATCTATCTGATCATGTCATTTCATGGGTTTTGGAGACAGAGAAGAAATAAATATAACTTATTGAAAGATGTTTTCTTCTTCCTGCATTTAGATTTAGTTTTATCAGCATTCCTGGAAAGTTGGTCATCTTTATTATTTTTTTTCTTCTCATACAAGAAAAAACATTTTCAAAAGCTTAAAATTTAAAATAACAGATGAATATATCAAAGTTCAATAATATGTATACTTCTATAGGTGCCCAAAGACAATGCACACAACATTACAAAACACATGGAATAGAAGTTGCTACTTAGTGTGAAACTGTCTGACCATCTTTCAACATTCACTGCAGACCATGATCACTGTTTGACCAGGAAAATATTATTAGTGTTATAAAAATAAATGTGATCACCCAATTCAATTTTTTTTTAAATGTTCCCGATGCTTTGGTAGGTCATGACCCAGAGTTTGAGATCTTTGGTGTAAGTGATTCAGATTCGAACCTAACATTTTTTTGCTTCAGAATGGGCATAATGTGGTTTTGTGGTTTAAGGCTCAATACCCACTGATCTAAAATGTCCTAGAGTTCCCTTCATTTTTCTACTGAATATCATAATTACTATGACATATGGCTCAAGTGAAGAAAGCTATTACAATTCCAAGAACAGAAATCTAGATCTATAAAACAATTCTGCTGCAATATAGTGTGAAATTTGTCAAATAAATATTATGATTATAGTCTTATAGAACAAGAAGTTGGCAATTTATTTTTGTACAATAAAATAAAATAAAAACAGAAACGGAAATGAGTGAAAAATATAATGAGATTGCCTAATTTGGCGAAATCTTGTTGATCTAATCTCTTTGAAATAATGTGAAGACACTGAAATCTTATATGATTGGAGAATCTCATAAGAATTTGCCCATTTTTACAAATTTATAATTTTGGGAGTGCCTGGGTGCCATTCAGAGCTGTTGTGGGCATTGTGATGTCAACGGATACCAAATGTAAGAGGCAATGGATGGAACAGTATGTATAATTTTAAAAAGGATGGAGATTTGAATGCCGTTCTTTCACATAAGAACTAAAAACAATGAATATTGATTCAGATATTTGAAAGAGATGAAACAGTGAAGGAGAGACAGAGTATAGATCTTTAAATGGCAGAAGACAGCATGGGTAATAGGAAGACATTAAAGGAAGGGAAAAATATAAGCTCACAATGAGGAAAATTTTTCCTGTCAGACAGATTTTTCTTTGAGATGATCTCTCTGAAGGAATGATAAAAGGTCTATTCATTCAAGTTTTTAAAACAAGATCAGGCTTTTGGAAAAGCTGAAAGAACTATACAATGAAAGAGGTTTCTCTCTTGAGAGATTCTTTAATGAGATAGCCTAATAGCTTTTTCCTTTACTCTCAGCGTCTGCATTCCTTTCTAATGGTTACTATGGAATAATGGAATAATACTAATGGAATAATAAATAATAATAAATAAAACAGAAAGAAACTGTCGATTCTGGTACTAGTGCGATATATAAAACATTGCTAGTATTTGACTTAATCCTACAAATAACTCCTAGTGGTTACTAGTATCCAATGCTACAAAAACTATCTGAAGAATTATTTGTAAATAAATTTTACAAATAAATATTCTGATGGAAATCAATACTTCTATCTATAAAAGTATAATGTATCCATAATGGCTAATGAATTTGTAAATCATTCAATTAGCAATGATTGAAAGCAATGAATAGCCTCTGAAAGTACATAAAAACAGAGCCAGCCCTACCATTAAGCAGAGAAGCAATTTATTTATTTATTTAATCAATACATATACCTGGGAAGTCCTTAAAATTGCTTACAAAATTAAAAACCTAAAAACTTAGATTATAGATTAAAAATATAAATCAAAATTACCACTAAAATCAGTTAACAAAAACCTGGTGAATGAAATAGTTTTTCTGACTTGCATAATGCTGGAAAGGTTGAACTAAATATAATTTATGAAGTATTGTGTTGTATAGCTGGGATCAATATGGGAGAAAGATGGACCTCTGAGGAAAATGCATCTTCAAAAGGCAGGAGGAAGGCCTGAAGTAGTTCCTGAAACTTTACAAGAATTTGCTTTGCTAAATGATTGTATAGTTTTTTTTCTCTTTAAAACAGATTTTTCATTGTTTTTAAATGGATTTATTTGACTCTGAATATGATTTGCACAAGTTGATTAGGATTTGTCTTCTATGAAGATTTATAAATCTAATGGGAAGCAAATATCAACTCTAATAATTTAACCTACTTTCATGAAAAAAAATTCTAGTATAGTAATTTGGAATTAAAAATAAATACGATGAATATGTCCAATTGAATTGGTAGTGCTTGCAAACCTATACGTAGAATGACTCAACAGCCCTCAGGCTATATTCAAGAGCTCTTTTCTATTCATATCAGAAGCTAATTTAATTACAATATAGCCAAATTCTGGCGTATGAAAATATTTTCTAATGATCTGATCTAGTGTGTTACATTATACAGATTCTATTCAGCATCTACAAAGTGGTGTGGCTACGTGTATTAGTTTAGACAATTTTCTGCAATTCTCATAGTGAGGGAGGTGATATATTTAATTTTGAACTTTGCATCTGAGATGAAGATAAAAAGGTCTGCCCATCAACAAAAGCTCTGTTTGGGCATCAGGAACTTGATTGAATGTACAATGTTGTGGACTTTCCTTGAACGAGTGAAACAACTCATGAGTTTTCTAACAGTTAAATCACTGTGCATGCTACTAAGAACTTTCCAATTTACAAAACTTCCCATGTGACCAAATGTGAGCTCCCTGCATTTAAACTTTTAAAAATCTACCCATCTGACCTGACAATGTTTTTTAATATTTATTTTTCAACTGGGTATCTGAATGGAATATACTTAGAGCAGACTTCTTGAAAATCAATGAGAAGTCAGCTAGTCATCAACAAACTAGGGTTTGATTTCTAAGGTTGTCTAAGGTTAGAGTCATTCCATTGATTTTATTTTTTAAATATGCCATACATTTATTTATAAAAATAGAGAAAGGTGGAAGTGGCTAAATGAATTTCCATGTTAATGTGAAAGCATATGCATTGTGATTCTGTTGAAGTCTATATCCTGTAAAGTCCTAGTACCTTCTTTGTTTAAACTCATGATAATTCACTGTGGTACTTATTATAAGCCCTATTAGCCCCAATCTAATTCAATGGTTAGAATTACTAGAATGACAGCAGGCTTGCTGTTATCCTGATTCCCACCAAAAGCAATGAAATGGAAAGCCAACCCCAGAAGCGAATAGTCTACACTACTTTTGTTATCTGTCCACATAATTTGCAATGATGACCTTCCAGAATTTGAAACTGAAGAGGGGCCAAACATCAGGTGGTCCACAAAGTATCGTGAGTGACTCTAATCACTTGGAAGATTAGCATATCCAAGTAGGACTCATATATTTAGCAAAACCATATGTACACTGCTTCAGATGTCCAAAATATTTGATGCTGGAAGTAAACAATTGGGGGGGGGGCTGTATTTGGCACTGAGAACATGCTATGTATGTTTCCAGTGATGGCTGCTTCTGGGGATTGCTTGATCAGTGCATGATGATGGATGTGATAATTTAAACACTGATTTACTGGAGAGCAAACTAATGACCTTGCCTCTCCACCACCTGAGGTTACTTTTGCCATCTTTCTGGGCACCTGGGCATGATTCCAAATAAAGCCCTGGACTAAAACCACTTGCTATTTATTATTATTATTTAATTCAGTAGGGGGCCTAGAGACATTTGTATACATTAGGATGATATTGAAGACTACGTCAGAGATTGTCACATTGCTTTCTATTTAATAATTTTTCTTTTAATTAAAATAATATACAATCAAGCAGAGCTGCAAGTCTGAAGCATTAGTGCCCAGAAATACTGTGGTGACTTCCCTGATGTACCAATCTTTCACTTCCTCTGTGAGAATCTTCTACAATGTGTTGATGTTCAAAATACACTATATATGTTCTTTTGGCAGTGGTTGTCTGATTGTCTAGAAATTGAATTCTGTCTTGTCCATTTCTCCACCCCTTTTTCCTTTTGAAATTATATGTGATAAAATCCTTAGAGAGGCTACAAAGCCAAGATGCCCTTGAGTTGAACTCAGTTCTGATAATTACATGGATCATCCATGATACTTTCTAGGCAACAATATGGAGGATATCTCTTCTTGTCTTTTTCTTAAAACAATAAACAATGTTTTCATTCAGAATAAGTTTAGGAGCACAGTGGCTCACGTGGTTAGGATGCTGGGTTGGAAGTTAGCAAGCTCACATTTGAGGCCCAAGAGCAAGGTGAGCTTTGCTCTAGCTCCTGCTGGGGACATGAAAGGAGCCCTCAACTAGGCATTCCCCAGGGCAAGGGTGATGTCACTAGCTAATCCTTTCAACCTGGAAGTGCCTCGGTGCTTCCGACATGAGTGCAATGCAATTCAGAATAAGTCCATTCATAAGAAAAAAAAACACAACCAAATGGTACTCCACTTCATGTTACTAAATCATAATAATTTAAGCGAATAATCTGATTTCAGACAAATGGCTGTCCAGTCTCTTCTTAAAAACTTCCAGTGTTGGAGCATTCACAGCTTCTGGAGGCAAGTTGTTCCACTGATTAATTGTTCTAAGTGTCAGGAAATTTCTCCTTAGTTCTAGGTTGCTTCTCTCCTTGGTTAGTTTCCATTCGTTGCTTCTTGTCCTGCCTTCAGGTGCTTTGGAGAATAGCTTGACTCCCTCTTCTTTGTGGCAACCCCTGAGATATTGGAATACTGCTATCATGTCACCCATCATCCAAGGGCCCTTCCAACTCTATTATTATTATTATTATTATTATTATTATTATTATTATTATTATTGTTGTTGTTGTTGTTGTTGTTGTGTGTTTTACTGTGAGAGAATCCTCTCACAGCTGCAGAGTGGCTGGGGCGAGGCAAAGGC